CCTATACCAAATGGTGCAATGGATAGAAAGTTATCTTTACTGGGTGTAATAATTAGTCATATCGAGAATCTATTTGACAAATAACGTGGATAAGATCAACAAAAAGGCGAAACAACATAACTAGCAGAAGCAAATCTTTCGACACTTACAGTATGACTCAGCATGGCTACAACTTTGTCGCCAGGTTTGAAACTTTCGACTCCAGCTCCAACCTCCACTATTTCTCCAGCTACATCAGTAGCTGCTCCATGAAAATGACAACATGATAAAGACAGTAATTTAAAAACGATTCTTCATAATATACGTTCTGTTCATTCACAAGAAGCTTTAATTCCATCATCTCAAGCATCAAGACACATATCCACATTTTCATGAAATTTAACTCAAGAAATATTTTGGCTGCATGGTGGACCTGTACTCAGTAATACATCCACAGGCGTAAATTCAATATAAGTGAAAATTTTAGGACTAAATTCAATATAAGTGAAAAATCAGCAATACAAACACAAGGCACTGTTACATCTTTTAAAGTGATTATACATTTGACAAAAGCTGATATCACTATCAAAGTCATTTGATGCAGGTTTCTGACTTCAAATTTATTATAAAAAAAAGAAGAAAATGTTGCTGAATCCCATTAGAGCTCAAGAAAACTCAACGCTGTGAAGTTCCAACATCTTATCACATCTTTGGACAGATATATTTCAAGTTCAACAAAAAGCCCAATGCCCCAATCCCAAGTCAAAAGCAACACCAGACAGTAAATAACCATAAGGCATAAATGAAGGATTATGCAATAACTGGCTCAACGAAGTACAATGTAATTCACAATTAAACCCTACAGCACAAAGGTCTGGAATGACAATATGTACTCCATAAGAAACCTTAAATCAATATTAATTAGCTTACCCGGTATAAACGGAAACTTTCGAGGAAGAAAAGGACGAAGCACGCCCTTCTGAGTTTTCCAATCAATGGGATTTAAGCTAGTAGCTTCCAACTTTAGCAGGACCTCACCCTTACTAGGTGTAGGAACTGGAACTTCAACGTGCTGTCATTAGGAAGTAATATAAACTTCATTTGGTTAGTAATTCACAGCCAGAATTTGAACTTATATTTCACAAGTGCCTTTACCATATAGTTTCATGTGTTCTAATATATTACCGAAAAAAAATATCATTTTATTTTTCTGAAATTCATGCAAGTAGGGCTGAAGAATACGAAAAACACCAGTCAAGATGTAATCCTAAATGTATGCAAAAACTTGAAACAACCTTTTCACACCCATAGAAAAATCTGTACAGAGTTATATGACACCAGTAGTTTCCCAACCAACAACCCATTTCTTCTTTTTCTTAAACATAGAAAAACATTTGTATATCCAAATCCCATTACATTCTGTCTTAGTAGAAGTATTATAGTAGACAGATTTCAAACAATTACCCATGCTTCATCTCTCATGCACAAAAAATTTTCACCTTTTATTTTAGAAAAGCAGTACTAACATTAGCCAAATCCATAGCCTTCAATTTTTTTCAGAAAAACTTGGTTAATTTGTTCTTTATCATTTTCTTGATGTAATTTCAACAGTGCCCAAATTGGTTCTCAAGATAATACTGTACAAAACTACACCAACCCCTGAACACATGTAAATCTGTGGTCACATCATACAGTTCTTCAGTCAACTAATTTACAAAATTTCGGTCTTTACATGGGATAATTTATACGGCACAAAATAGATTTTGACTTTTCACAGTAAAATGCGGAGATTCAAGGTTCCATGTAAACATTTTCTAAAAGGTGATTAAAAGGGCAAAGAAAAAACCAGAAAAGAGGGAAATAAATTCACCTTCAAACCAGCAGCTCCACCGCCATAACCCTCGTACTGAACAGCACGCATAAGCTTCCCCGCCATACCTTAATCATGAAAATACTCTAATTTCAACGGATATGAAATCAAAGTATATGTAAGAAAAAGACAATCAAAAGATTGAAATAGGCAAAAACAAAAAAAGCCTTCTCATACAGAATGGTTCGACTTTGAGAAGCTTGAAACGGCGACGTGGCTGGTTTTTGTAGCAATAGAACTGATGGAGTGGGCAAGTGGCGCACGATTTTTTGCAACCCTTTCTTTTTATTATTTTTTATTTCCAGTACTGGAAAATTATATTGAAATGAAATTTGAAAGGCCCAGCCCAATTCCAAGCATATGCTCAGCCCAAGTTTGAAGCCACGTCATTGTAACAGTGCCCAGCCCAAATTTGAAGCCAATTCACACAACAAATTTCATCATCACAACAAAATCTCTCCGGCCAACTGACCGCCGTCCGCCGGCAGCAATGTCCTCCCATCTATCTCGTACCATCCAAGCCCCTCTCCGCCGCCTCTCCATCTGGACCTCGCTGTCGACATCTTCTGGTGGACCGCCAAGCAGCGCCGCTTCAAGCACGACCAGTCCACTTACCTCACAATGATCGAGATCGCGGTTCCCGGCAAGCCGAGACTCTGATCGAGGATGTCATCGCCGGCGCTTTCCCCGCGCGCCTCTCCTTGTTCAAGGCCAGGATCAGATTCAGCTGTAGCCGTAAATCCCTATTCAGAAAATGCAGGACGCAAAACCTAATTTGGTAACCTACGCACTGCTCTTGAACACGCTCCTACGGAAGTTCGATAAATTCGATGAAGTATGGTCATTAGCTGAGCAAATGAAGACATCTGGAGTGATTCCCGATGCGTTTGGATGGACTGCATTTTCTAAGTCGTGATCTCTATAGTTTGCTCTGGCTTAGTTGTATGGTGTTTGAAAGTGACCCGATGCTAACTGAATGAAATGAAGTCCAGTTCTTATATTTGCGGCAATGACTTTGGTGTGGACATTCTCTATCAGTCAGGGTTTTGGTTTTCCGGTGACTATGATCAACGCGTCACAGAAGATTATTGTACCTTGATATTCTTGTTTATGCAAGGCATTTTAGTGGGACGTTATCTCTGCGGGGACAATATACACGACTCTTTTTCTTGCTCGAGGCAGCTATCATCTTGAAGTTATTCCTAATGCAAGGTATCAGGTGGCTTATTATGTATTTGTCTACGTGATTGATGGATTTATAATTGCTGTTAGCCACCTATCTTGTCGAGTTTCGTGAAAAGTCTAATGCAGATCCTTTACAGAGCATGCTTCTGAGAAAAGTTTGTTATGATTTTTATTTTTATTTTTGTGGAGACTATATCATGTTAGAATGTCTGTTTACATATTCTGAGCAGAAGACCGGACAAATAACAGCTTAGCATCAATTTTTACTGTGTGTTTGTTTCAGAAATCTATTAGTCAAAGGGCTAATCATCCACTATGTTACCAAAAACATCAAGTTTAATTTAACAGAAACATTTTAGTACAAAATCGAGAATGCCCGTCTGAGAATCTCAATAGAAACCACTGGAAATAAGAGAACGAT